GAACCGTTCAGAAAACCATTGTGGGAAGGGCAGAGAGAGGGGTGCTCTCCATACGCCCCACCCAAAGGAGTGCAAATGCCGGCCCGAATGCCCATTCTTCATCCTCCATCCTCCTCAGCTCCTTCCCCGCCTCCTCCGTCTCCTTCCACACCTCCATCTCTGCCCTGTCCATGTTTCCACCAATTTCCCCTGGTCCAAATGTCTTCCGCTTCATAGTGTCAAACTCAAAAAACTCAGACTCACTGCTATCGGTTGGGTTTCCCTTCAAAGCCACGCTACAGGGCAGAGGTGCCTCTGTGAGTTCCCAAGATTGTAACTCTTTCCGGGTGTAGCAAGCCCCCCTTTTCTCCCAACTTGATAGTCCTGCTAGAACTCTGTTCCCTAGCTGGCCTATAGATTGTGAGGGCTTCGAGAACAACATCGAACTCACTTATGTTTGCATCCCTTCTCACCTCTACATGGCAAGTCCTCAGTAGAGATTTGCGGAATGAATATAGTATTCACAGCAGCTGCCCCTATGGAAGACCCACTGTAGACTGTGCCAGGTGACAGGAGTTCTGTGTCTCTTCCTGTCCACACCACAAAATCAGCTGGCAGGGCGTGCCCCAGAACACTGCCGCTGCGCAAGGCTACGTGGCTCCTTCAGTGTCACATAGCCACCACAAGCTGTGGAGCTATTGAAACCCACGTGGGTCTTCTCAGTTTCTATTCACACGAACTTGTCACAAAGAAATTATGCAAGGGGACTTGGCAAGAAGACACATTTTTTTTTGGTAACCATAGGGATAAAAAGTATTTTCTACTCAGTTTGATCATCAAAGAATTTTTCTCTTCTCCTTCCAAGGACTCTGTAGATTCTGGAAATCCTCGCAGTGTTGTCTGATGAAGCGGAGGACTCTGAGCTGAGGAGTCTAAGGCTGTAAGGACAGGAAGCAAAAGAACGGCTTTCATTCTGAGGGTTTGAAGCCAGCTCTCGAGGGCAGTTTCTATCAGTAACCAATCTGTAGTCTCATATGAGTCTTTGCACCAGGAGATTGGATTCTAAATACTTAAAAAAATCACTTGGCTTTGACTACATAGTGCTGTGGCGTGAAGGACAACTCTTACAATAAGAAAAGTAAGAAGCACACCAGCCTGTGTGACCATGAGGTGCCCATGGGATCAGATATCAGGCATCAAAGAACAAAAAATCATATCAATTGTGAATGAGGGGGAGTGCAGAGTGGAGACTCAAAGCCCGTTTGTAGGCAATTGGACGTCCCCTTACAGAAGGGTCGTGGGGAGGAGACCAGTCAGTCAGGGTACAGGGAATCAAGGCTGAAACATACAACTTTCCTCTAGTTCTTAAATACTTCCTCCCCCTACTCTCATGATTCCAATTCTACCTTACAAATCTGGCTAGACCAGAGGATG